AAAAAATTCACAAAATATCCTGAGCAAGCAGCACATTTGAGGCAGAGTCATTCCCAAATGGTAAAGCAGGGAAGTGCATTAGCTGAAATTATTAATTGCAAAACTGCTTACTAATCCCCTTCCCAGTGCTGAAGGAGCACAGGGTGCTTTTCAAAGGTCTGAGTAAATTTTGTTATTATATTGATTGGCCATTCCTATCAAGACACAATGTACTAAGAAGGTACCGTCCGTAAGCGAGACGTCGTATCTGCCGGTGTCGCGGAGGCTGAACCTTCCTGCCCCATCGACCCGGCCTGAAGCTGCCCAGGAGCAGAGACCTGCAGTGACACACAACGGGTACTTCGCTGGGTAAAACAGAGGCACACAAGAAAAATGCAATTAATATCCCATGGCACCTTAAAGTTTAGTTCGTAACCTAATGTATTGATTTGCATTGGAAACAGAATGTTAAGTATGGGAGCTTTGCATAGGCATGGGACCTCTCCTGATTAGCTTTCTCATGGGAATAGTTTGAGGCCGCTGAGTTGTATCCTTGCTCCCTCTCTTCTTCTGAGGGTCCGAGATCCATTTCCCTATCAGGACTCAGCAATCTGGAAAGCCCAGAGATAAACACAAGATTCTTTCCATCCTTCCATTTGAAAAGGCCTTCGAGCCGATTACAGCGTTTCCTAGAGAGGCTCTTTGACATGGGGACTTGGTTCAGGTTGAGCATTCAAGATAAAGAAAATACCTGTATAATCCCCTCTGGGAAGAAAGGATAATTACAGACTGTGGGTTTGAAATATGGCTGATGGCACTGACCTCCTTCCCTGGACCGTCAGTAAATACCTCTCTGCTGAAACACCAGGAAATTGAAGCAGCTGAACTCTGCAGCACCTCCTCGGTGAAAAAGGGCTTGTAAAGGGGCGGTAGGAGCAGTTGCCTCTGGCTCACACCCACATGAAGATATTTCTTTATATATGTATCTCCGTCTTATAATTTACATCAGAGACATTCAAACGAAGGTTAGATTAATTTACTGAAAGCTCTCCCTGAAAGACAGCAGTAATCCCTCACCTTTCTGGAGCACCTTTCATCAGGGGCTACGCACAAACATCCATCAGCCAAAGCTTCCCAGCGCTGCCTGCCCGGAGCTGCAGGAGCACGGCAGCTGCTGCAGGGAGCAAAACCCGGGGGGCTCAGGGCTGGTGTCACTGGACCTGCAATATCATGGAAGCAAACCTCAGCAGCTGCAGCGAGGAATGGCCAAAATAGGTGTGCAGGCGTCCTTTTTGCAGCCTTTTTTTGGGCTGCCCTGGATTTGCAGCGATGCCTGACATGGCCAAGCTGAGCGACGCGTGGCCCTGGAGAGGGACCAGGGGGCTGAGATGCTTTTGGGGTGGCTGGAGACAGCACTGTGCCTGAAGATGAGAGATTGCTTTGTCCCGGGTAGTCGCCTAAAAGGATTAACCAACACCTCTTTAAAATGCCATCTAAGCTGTAGCACACTCCCACTTTTGAAAGAGATGTTGCAACAAAAGCTCCAATATCCAGGGATTCGGCGCTGCTGAGGAGGAAGATTTACCTGTAGTGTATCTAAGGAGAGAAGAAAACAGACTTGTAAGACAGGCAGCGATTTGCATGTTCCCTCTGGACTTGTTTTTCCCCCTCGCAGCACCCCGAGCTCCAGCTGGAAATGGAACTGAACAAATAACACCACGATAAGCAATTCAGTTTCCAAATACCACAAATTTTCCTGCTTACAAATCATTTTGCAAGCAGGTAGCACATTTCTCATATGGAAATGAGTCAGTACTTCATCTTTTTCTTTTTGTAGGTAAAAATCTCTTTTCCCTTAAAAAAAACCCAAAACCCAAAGTTGATGGTGTGCAGTCAGCCCCCGAGCACGGGCACCGTGATCCCGCAGCTCCCGGCAGCACCCACACGCAGAGCCTGAGCCCGGGCTGCAGAGGCGCCTTTTGCGCTGAATATTTACACGTAACAGTGGCCGTTTCCAGGAATCTTAGTGGTAATTTCAGACACAAATGTTTGTGAACGCAGACGAGGAAGGCGAGGGAGCGCAGGAGCATTGTCCGTCCCGGACCACGTGGGAGAGGGACGGTGAGGCAGCCGAGCACAGGGCTGCGGATCGCTCCCTGCTGAAACTCGTCAAGGAAAAGCAGGAAATTTTCCGAGGCTTTCCAGCTCCCTGGGTAAAAGCCTTTGAAGAACGGGTTTCTTTTGCTCCTTCTTCTTTGTACCTGGAACTGAAAAGCTGATGGACCCACCTCTGCAAACCAGAACAAATGCGTCAGAAACTTTGTGCTTTATCTTGGGACACCTTGAAGCCACAAGGCTCCTTACTCCAGCCACCAGATTCACAACTGAGCGATCAGTTCAGTGGTTTCTTCTCTTTCACCCTGCTGCCCTGAAAACCCTGACAGAAACAAGGCTGTGGCATCCCATCACACCTGCGGCATCGCTGGAGGTATCAGGACCTCGCACTCATGGGGATTGCCTTTCCGCCTCTCTAAGGAGCATCATCACATCCCGTGCTTAGGCGCTGGACCAACTCCTTCTGGCTACATTTACCACCCAGGGACTTTAACCTGGAGAAATCTTTCACCCAGGGATCACTTGGCAAGTTTTAATTGGGTACCACAGCATTCCCCCCAGGTAGATATTATCTCCATTTTGTTGCTGGAGACAGTCAAGCCCAAACTGGGGAGGTGACCTGCCCAGCATCATAAAACAGCTCCCCGACAGAGCAGGGAGCCGGCTGCAGCCGTCCCAGCCTGCGGGCTCGCCGCTGCCTCCAGGCTGCCGGCTGCGCAGGACCCGGGGAGACAACCGCAGGCAGGCAGGGTGCTCGCCAGCTCAGGAGAGTCAAGGGATGAAGCCTTTGGTGTCCTTGGAAACCTGGACCCGTTTTGAAATCACTCGCTCGCTCTCTTCGAATCAGGGGTTTTCATGCCACAGCAAATGGAGTTGTGCGAGTTTCACCATCTGACAGTTACACCCAAGGTATGTTTAAAAGACAAACTAGATCCAACTCGGCACAAAAAAGGCATCTTTGATGGGAGATTGACCTTTAAAGGTCCCTTCCATCCCAAAGCATTCTATGATTCTGTGGTCACAAACCCCACGGGTTCAAAGGGGAGACGAAGCCGCGTGTACCAGCTGCGCAGCACCAGGGCAGGCGACTCGCCTGCAAGCTTGGGTTTGCGCCGCTGCTCAATGCGCACGTGAAACGCATAGCGTATTGCGAGCGGTACCTGCCTTGCGACGGTAAAGGCGGCAGCGGGATGCTGAGCCTCGTGGAAACGCTCCCTGTGCCGTTACACAGCAGAAATGAGGGTCGTTTCCCATCCCACGTTCAGCAAGCTGTCATACGCTCGTTACTGACACACTGCCCTTCGCAGCAGCCGACTTCAAAATACAAGAGCATCGTAGACAAGATGACACAGTGCCAAACGCCTCTAGTTCACAGCATTAAAAAGAAAGTCTCCAGTTATAAGAACAGAGGCCATCCTTAATCAGTTTTCTATACAGTACTGCCTAATGCTTGGGCAATAGCTAAAGCCGAGATTGCTTAGAAAAGCATTCCCACAGATCAGAAGTGCATGCATTCAGATCATGCCCATATACCTGATCTTTGGTAAATCATTTAACTTGCTCAGTGCCTCAATTTTCCCCAGCTGCAATAATGAGCCAGCTCCCACAGGCCCTGGGAGCAAGTTAATGACTTAGTGGCTGATCCTGTACCAGCACTGGCCTGGGGATTAGCAAGGTGTGAAGCTCTTTGAGGTCTGTCAGCATAACCTTATTTCAAAATCAGTTTTCCCTTTCAAATCGGATCCCTCTGACCCATGCACTGTGCAGCCCCCCCCATTCCCTAGCCCAGCTGCAGCATCCCCAGGACTGGAGGCTCACCTGGTCAAAACGCTTCACCGGGGCTTTAGTTTGTGCAATCCGCAGCCGAGCTCACCTCTATGCGAGGAGCTGAATATCAGCAACGCCAGGCAAGGCCTTTTGGATTTGCTGAATTAGAAGTAGCAGGGTGAATCTGAACTAAGCAGCCCTCCCATGGGGGGAAAAAAAGCTCTCAGGAGAGCCTGGCAGCCAAAGAAAAGAGCAAACAAACTTCAAGGGGACATAGCACAGCAACCAAGCCTCAATAACCGAGAGGTTTCAGGGAACAGACTAAGATTTTTTTTTTCCTTTCCTCCATGTAAACACATCTACCTTCTCTCCAGTAACTCACCCTGCCAGGACCATGCCTAGGGCTTTGGGCTCTCTCCTGCCATCCCTGGCTCCCCGGGTGACACTAACCTGCTTGGCAGCCCATTTTCTCAAAAGCCCCCACAGCATTTCTTGCTTGAAAACAACCCAGCCAGCAGCACGGCACGGATGTTCACCCTCTCGCTCTCTCAGATACAGCTGTGTCTTTGCCATAAGGCTCCGGATCAGAGCCCACCAGCGCTGGTGGGTCTGGCTGCAGCTCCCAGCTTTTGGGAACAGCCTTTCCCAGGGCTCTGCAGGCTCCCCAGCTCACCCTCCATTGAGCTTGCAGAGTTCACATGGGGCCAATTAGGAAATACTACTAACAGTAAGAGCAGATAGCCAAGGTGGATACAAGAAGAGAAAAAGACCTCATGCTTACCAAAAGGATTCTGAGCAGTCACTAAAAGCCTAATATCCCCTTCTTCCCCTTCCCTTGACTGAATCAATCCAAACACAGCCCTGCAGAGGGGCATGTAGCTTGGTTCCTGCCCTTTATAGCTCCCTGGGGCAGGGTGACCCAGCTGAGCCCTGTCCCACTCATCAGGCAGGGCCCGGAGGGAGGGGGCCAAGCATCTGGGCACCCGGCGGTTTGCGTACCGGCATCTAACCCTTTCCTTGTCAGCCTGCGTACGCGTCGCCCCGTCACTGCGTGAACGAGCATCTCTGGGGTGTGTTTCTGCTGAAAACCCTCTCCTCCACGGTCATGAGTGGGAGCTGAGCCTGCCCAAGTCCCCGCCATGGGGACGGGCAGGGCTAGAGCTGGCTCGCTGAGGGAAAGGTGATGTCCTGCCCCCGTGCCAAGGGCAGGTATCTCCTATGGCCTAACCCAGGAAACCTCAGCAGGGGCAACCAGTGCAGTGACACCGACGTGACATTTCTATTCCCAGCTGCAAAGCTCTGTGTGGGGCTCAAGTCCATGCCTTGCTCCTCCGCTCGGGCACGATGGCACCGAGCGCCTCCCCCTCGCGTTGTGGCTATTTGGCACCTGGTGCCCAGAAACCTTGTTGTGAAAACCCCGTCTCTGCTCCAGCGATTTATTTCTCTGCCCCGTAGCTCGGATGAACCCCCGACACGAGGCTGCGTGAAGCGGCACGTGGCGCTTCCCAGCGGGGCCAGGCGCCTGCATGCACCCGTCTTGGTTTGGAAGGGTCCCGCGGCTCCTGCCCGTGGCGGCAGCGGACGCAGGGGGTCGGCGTGCTCGCGCGCCGGGGCGTTGGGCTGTCGGCTGCGCGCCGTGCCGACCCGCAACGGTCTCATGCTTCCTTCTTGTCTGCAGGCTGGCTCAGGTGCTCCGATCACCTGCTGCTTGCGGGAACAGGAAAGCAGCAGCTGAAGATCGAGGGGGACTTTTGGTTTACTCAGATGACAAGAGACAATTTTGGTTCCCCAAAAGCCAAGGAAACAAAGCTGTCAGGCTTTAATGGTAGCTTGTCTCCCTCCTGCAGCATGTTTATGGGCAAACAAGCTGCAGATCAGACCAGGCAAACAGCAGCAGGTGAGGCCAAATATCAATAATTAATAATTAATGGCAAATGTGGCTATGTTTATTCTTGTTGTATTGAGGCAACATTGTCTAATGGATGAAGCACTGTTACAGGACTCGAGAGACCGGCTCAGTTTCCAGCGCTGCCGCTAGCCCCTGCTGATGCTGGGCCAGCCACCCGTTCTGTTTCTCCCTTCGCACTCTGCGTGCCCCGCTGCTGAGGGTGCAAGCTCCCCGCGGCACAGGCGGCTCTGTCCCGTGCATGCACGTGCCGAATGTGACAGGGCTCTGGCCTCGGCTGGGGCCTCGAGGCAGAACAGCAACGCCAATATTCATGTTCTGTGACAGGTGCCCGGTGCCGGTGCCTGCACGGTTTGCTTGTGGCATGGAGCAGGGCTCACCCGACTGCCCTGGGCATTAACCTTCGCAGTGGTAGGCTCTGGGTTACAGCTCTCCAGGGGAGTTGTTTCTGACAATAGCATCATTCCTAAAAATGCCAGTATGTGTTTCAAAAGTGTCATGGTGTCTCCATGTCATCACCCTGCTGTGCATCAGCATCCATCCGTGCCTTCCCACCCCCCTGCCCTGCCCGTCCCCCCACGCTGCCGGGGCGCGCGGGGCAATTTGCAAACACGCCGGAGCTGTGTGGGACCCGTCTCCAGCCCGGTTTTCCATAGGCTCTGGTGTTAACTCACACTGGTGCCAGCTGGGTTTACCTCCTCCCCAGGTGCCATGTTTCATGGCCACGTGTGGCGAGGCACGATTCCCCTCTCTCCTGCATGGCTGTTCAGTCCCTCGTGTGTACGCAGGTCCCCAGCCACGCATGCGGCTTGCATGCACGCCACAGCATGATTTCGGGCATGCACAAATATGCGAGTATATAAGTTATGCAGAGCTCTTCGTGGACAGACAAAGTGTTTGATACTACAAGCAACACCAGCTCTCCAGGGGTGGCTGGTTTGGGGGTGGCCCTTGCTGCAGCAGAACCCACATCTGCTGGGTACCTGGACCCTTGGCAGTATGGATATTTGTAAAACATGCTCTGACTTTTGATTTTAAGGGTGTCCCCTAGAGACAAATATAACCTGTGCTGGGCCTGTGGAAGGCAAGCTTTGAAGTTGCCCCTTCCTGGAAATAGCTCTGGTTTCCTACGTCGCATGGTGATGTTCCCATATTGGTTCTTCCCTCAACCAGCTCCAGCCATGGCAAACGCCAGCACCGCAGTGGCTGACTCCAGCAGGGCACCAGTGCCTCTCACCCTTCAGTCCCCTGACTTTGTTCAAGTTTCACACGGAGAGGAAACTTCATGTACCTTAGCTCCTTTCCATTCATCTTTTAGCCTTAAAACATTAGCCATTTTTATGTAACATGTGCTACATTTTTATTGCCGAACTAACAAGTTGTTGAGCTGTATTTACAATATGCTGATTGTAAGCACCCCTTAATAGGTCCAGTCTACGTACCCTCCCCAATTAATTTCTGGGTTTTCTGTTTCATTTTGGGCATGTGTGTTTCCTTTATAAAACCTGCATCTCGCCCTGGTATTCGTTGCTGCGTTACTTGCAGGAACCATCTGAATGGGGATTGTGGAACAGTCATTACCCAGGAACCACAAAGAATGCCAGGGCTGAAATGATCCGGAGCGATGGCATTTGCAGTCCTCTTTGGATTCTTTCAAAACTTGTTTTTTCCAGCATTAAACTGGTTATTAATTTCAGAACATAAAAGCCAAAGAGATTTGGCAGAAGTTTCAGCCACGGTTTTAACCTATAAACCTTTATTGCGTCTAAAAACATTTCTTACTGGAATGACGTATGGGAAAACCGTGCCCATTTCACCCCGGGTGCGATGCCATGGGCCCGATGCGGTGCTGCAGTCACCATTGCCTGCCTAACCTCTTGTGTTAACTGACTTTTGCCCATTAAGTAAAAGGAAGTCTGTGCTGGATTAATTGGGTTTGATCTTCTCAAGCTTCTTTTAAGCCAGGGATGATGAAAGTTTAGGGCTGTGGCTTGTTGTGGGGCTAATCCCAAAGCTGAAGTCAAAGAAGCTCTTTCCACTGGTTCCTGTGGGCACATACTGGCAAACACGGCTCTTGGCCATCCCAGCATCTCCGGGGTTTTACGCAGGGTGGGAAGGTCAGGGCTCAGCCCTGCTGATCCTGTCCGGCGGGACGCAGCCGTGTGCCTGGGCAGAGCTGGGCTGCAGCCGCGATCCCATCCCGAAGCCGGGAGAGGAACGGCACCCGGGCCAGCGCGACGGGCCAGTGCTTCACCCTGCCACCCCACCTCCACGGGGTGCCCAGAGGAGACAGGGAGGGGAAGCTGGTCACAGGTCCAGACAGCGATGCTGCGGACAGTCCTTAGCCTTCCAGGAGACCAGCCCAAAACCTTGGGTTTAATTACAGGAGAGCTGGGAGGCGTGGGAAAGCAGGCGAGAGCAGAGTCCAGGCTTCTTCCTTTTTCTTTTTTCTTTTTATTTAGTTTAGTTTCATCACCCCACCTCTCTTCTTTTATTGAGGAAAATAAGAACCTAACTGAGATATCCCAGGCAGCCATGCTGACATCTGCGGATGGCAGGGCACGGGTGCTGGGGGCTAGAAAGCGGCCAGGAGAGTCACCAAGCGGCTTCCCTGGCTCTGGAGTCTCTCAGCCACCGCCTCCTCTCTCCCTTCCTTGTCTCCCAGTGCCCATCCCCTCGAAGGCCAACGGCACCACCATTCCCACCCTGTCAATGAACAAAGATGGCCTGATCGGAGGGGTGACGAATCCCAACGAGGTCTTCTGCTCCGTGCCTGGCCGCCTCTCTCTTCTCAGCTCCACCTCCAAGTACAAGGTGACCGTCGGGGAGGTGCAGAGACGGCTCTCGCCCCCCGAGTGTCTCAACGCCTCTCTCCTCGGCGGGGTCCTCCGCAGGTAAGCTGCTCCTGGGAGCCCTGGGACAGCCCAAGGACGCGGGGTAACACCGAAGCAAGCTTTGTGCTCAGCACCAGCTCCTACCTCTCAGATTAACGGAGACGAGAAATTACTGGTCTGTGTTATATCAGGGAATAGCATTTTCATTGCTTTTTCTTCTTTTGTTTCAAACCTAAAAGCTCAAACTGGGATTAGTTATAGTTATTTTAACATTAATTATAATTTTTTTCCTCTCCTTGTTTTCTCTTTTCAGAGCAAAATCGAAAAACGGGGGTCGGTGTTTAAGGGAAAGGTTAGAGAAAATTGGACTAAACCTGCCTGCAGGAAGGCGCAAAGCTGCCAACGTCACCCTGCTGACATCCCTCGTGGAAGGTAAGAGTCGCTCTCCACTCCCGCGGAGGATGGGAGTGCCGAAACTTCAATACCCTTCATTTGCAGCTTTCCACAAACGAGAACACTTAAAACAAAGTATGCAGCGGTCACCACTGACTGAGACTGGAAATATCCCCGTGTAAGTCTCCGTGCTGATTCAAGCACGTCTGTCTTCCGAAACTCAGACATTTCTGTGGGACCAGTCATAGCCCATGGGGAAAAGGAATCCACAGCCTGAACGGGGCTGCCAGCTTCCTTTCGGCAATATCTAAGCGTACCGTTCACTGCTGTGAACTAGTTCTAATAACGCTTAGTCAGGTTCACAGAAACCAAATACAAAAAAAAAAGCTTGAATAAAGCTGCCAAGAATTTAGCAGCTGTTTTGTAGCACTGTGCGTCCGCTTGGGACACAACTCAGGCGCTGCCGACTGTGCCGCCCTCGGACGGCATCAACCTGTTCTGCCGAGGCTCCATCACCCCGCTCAGGTCCGTGTCGTGCCTCCCATGAGAAGGAGGTGCCCCGTATCCGAGCCCTGCTCTCCTCCCCTGGGACAGCACGGGAGAAGTGAGACATGGAGGAGATGCCGCGCAGCTCTGAGGTCTTGCAGGAGGTAAAGTTTGCAGCAGCAGCAGGCCTCGGAGCGTGGCATTAAGGGCTGAGCTACGGAAAACGTGCTGCGGGCGGCGCAGCCTTGGCAGGCAGCGTGCGACCTGCCCTGACGCGTGAGGTGCCCCTGCTTGAAGCCGCTTGTTTATTTGCTCCCCTCCTACTTTTCGCACTATGGAAATGATGATGTCGCCACTGCGTCTTTGGAGAAAAGGACACGGGACGCAAACAAATGCAATGACAGCTCCGACTCCCTTCGAGCTTTGGAATCCATTGTGTTTGCGCCCAGCGTGTTGGAGGCAGCTGCCTGCAGTTTCTGAATAGAAAATCATCTCCATTGTTGCCAGCAAATTAAATGACCCGCTTCATTAGGCTGAGGTTGTTACTGAGGGCAGTTGGTTCGTGCTGAATGAAAGGCTGATTTCCATTAAAAGAAAAGAAAGAAAAGAAGGAAAGAAAGAAAGGAAGGAAGAAATGTACATTTTGATTTCAGGTGGCTGCTGATGTTTTGGTTACTGCTTACCAGCTCATAGTAAATAAAAGAGCGGTGCCATGTGTGCTCGATGGATATAATTTCCTCCTGCACAGAAACGCGATGGTACTGGGAGATGTTTCACCCAGAGGAAGGTGCTATTGCATTGCCGTTACTCAGCACGCAGAAACTGGCTTGTGCCCCTGTGCCCCAGGCACCCTCTTCCTTGGACATTTGCTGTCCTGGTTTAATTTGTTTTCTCCCCTCTGCCTTCCCAATGTCTGTTCATTTAAAAAAAAAGCACTGGGTGTTTTTTTGAGGGCTAATGATATACTTTTTCTTACACTGACCCACAGCCGTTCATATAGATGGGGGAGAAGGGGTCCGGGGGAGCACAGGGAGCACTGCGAGGGCTGCAGGTAGAAACGCAGCTGCCTTTGGGAGCCCTTGCCACATAGACCGAGCACTCGCCCTCCCGCACGGACCCAGGGGAGCAGCAGGGCTGTATTTCAACTGCAGAAACATCCTTAAGCTCTCAGAAAGGGATGTGCGTTGCGACAGGCTCCTGCGGCCCCTCTGCCTGCCGTGGCCTCCTGCCCCACGAGCGCTCTCCTCCCCGGGCTCTGCCTCGGTGTGGCTTTAACACCGCTTTCAAAAGCTGGACCGCCTCGTCCCCTCTGCTGAAACCTCTCAGCATCCAAATTGCCTTTAAAACATTCAGCCACTCGCACACACTCATGGAGGAAACAAATCCTGGCTCCAGCCTCGGGTCTCACCCTGAGGTCACGCAGCCCTTTTTTATTGTCACAAGAACTGTTTTTCAGCAGCTATGACTTTCTGATTGTTTTTTAACATACAAACAACCGCAGTTCCGATTCTCTAGGTTTACCTTATTTGCTCCTTCTTTGGCGGAGGAGATAAAGTGGAAAGCCTTAGCGTTACACGGGAAGCACAGACACTTTCCCCATAACATGGCTTCACAGCCATGAGCTCCGGGAGCGGGGGAGACTGTGATGGGATCTAGGTTAATGCTATTAGGATGGATGGCCTAATACGTATGAGCAGCAGGGGGGCAAGTCAAATTAGCTCTGCCTGCCGGACCAGGATTTCGGGTGTTGGGCATGATCAATCGCCATCAGCTCTGATTATTTCCACGGGGACGCCCGGAGAGAGATCAATTCCATCAATGGGTGGGCATTTCCACGGGGTGATGGATACGCTGCCTGCGCGTCCAGCCCGAGGGCCCCTGCTCACTGTGGGAAGATGTAAACCCCTTCCTTCTGCCCGTTTCTCACATCCACGTTTTGTCTAGCAGTCATGGGGCTAAGGTCGCTTTTTCACCCTCCAGCCCCTGTTTAAATCCCTGCTTAATTTGGAGAGGCCAAGCAGGAAATTTTGGAAGAAGTAGGGCCCTGCTTAATTTGGAGAGGCCAAGCAGGAAATTTTGGAAGAAGAAGGGAAAGAAAGATGCAGCAAGGGAAGTGCCCAAGTGAGAAACAGCTCTGTCACCCAGAGAGCTCGTGGGTGGCAACTGGGAAAGGAAAGGGCTCCAGTCCAGGCAGAAATAAGCCACATCAGTGAGGTGGCTGAAGTTGCTACGGAAAGTGCTCCCCTTTCACACGGGCGTTGACACAGTTTGTTCATCCGTCCTGCTCGTAGGTGAAGCCGTTCACCTTGCTCGGGATTTCGGGTACGTGTGCGAAACGGAGTTCCCAGCCAAGGCAGCAGCAGAGTACCTGTGCCGACAGCACTCCGACCCCACGGAGCTCCACACCAGGAAAAACATGCTGCTGGCTACCAAGTGAGTACAGATGGCTATGAGCCACGGCCACGTTAGGCACCCACGGCCTGGAAGGGCAGCGTCAGCCCTGAAAGCTTACTCTTCTGCGGGGAAGAGATGGTCTCATACGCCGCAAGCAGATCTGAAAGATGCGCAGCGAGATGAATAATTTGCACGGATTTAAGGGCTTGCTCCTAGCTGGGAGAGGTTAACCTAACCCCAGGGAGCATTTCGGCACTGCCACGCTTGCCCCTTCGGAGCGGCAGCAGCTGCACCAGCTCCCAGTCTGCAGGCAGGGGCTTTCCCCAGGCTGGGGCTGGAAACTCCTGGAGGGGAGGCAGCAGGAAAAGAGCCCTCAAACACACCTATGTCCCTGCAGCTTCCCAACAGCATTTATAGTAACACAAACCTCTCTCTTTCAGGCAAATTTGTAAAGAGTTTGCAGACTTGATAGCCCAGGATCGCTCGCCGCTGGGGAACAGCCGCCCCTCGCTCATCTTAGAGCCCGGTGTCCAGAGCTGTTTGACTCATTTCAGCTTGATAACCCATGGCTTTGGGGGCCCAGCCATCTGCGCAGCGCTCACAGCCTTCCAGAACTACCTGGTGGAGTCCCTCAAGGGGCTGGATAAAATGTTCATGAACAGCACAGGGAACGGGCACACGGCCGGAGACTCCAAAGCGTCAGAAAAAGAAGTGAAGCATCGGAAATAACGCGCCGTCTCCCTCCGGCTCCCCGCCGGGAGCTTTCCCTGGGCGCGGTAGGAAGGCTCAACAGCGCTGGGGGGGGAAGACGACCCAGTGCGCCCCTTTCTGAACTGCTACGTTTGAACTTGGGATGAAACTCGTAAAGCAAGCAAAGAAAAGACAAAAAAAAGAAGATTTAAAGAATTTAAGAAGAAAACAACTCATGGACGTAGTGAGATTGAGAAAATAAGACAGGTTGATGGCTTTTGGGTTTTGCCCTTTTTTTTTTTTTTTTTTAAATTGTGGATGCAGGAAGCCAAGTCATGTGCAATTTTATTTTGTTTTTTTAAAAACCCATAGTGAAATCCTGACATGCTCCAGGAATTTGTTCCAACTGAAAAACCGAGAAGGAAGAGCAAAAGCCTCAACAGTACAAGAACCAGAGGCGCAAGCAGCGGAGGGCAGGGAGTTGGATCGCTGGCTGTACCTGGATTTATCAGCTGGTTTTGACAGGCAAACACCCAGGAAATCTTCCTATTTCCCCACCTACAGCCCAGTCCTAGAGCCACGCCAAGAGAAAAATCGCCAGCAGAACTGCTTTGGATTTAAAGCAGTTTCAGACTTCGTTTACAGTTTTCAAAGCGAGACTCAACGTGGATTTTCCCTGGGGCTGAGGGTCCCTGAGCCGCACCACGGGGGAGGAACAAACCGCACACCGGCGGTTCCCAGGGCAGGAACCCAGCGAGGAGAGCCTTCCCGGCTGCTGGGGTCACAGCTGGGGATAAAGCAGGTTAAGTTAAACCCAGGACTAATTAAAACTCCACAACCTACAGATAACAGCACACAAGTTTCTAAAATTAATAATAATTAATAAAGCACAAGGAGCAGAACTTGAACCAGGCCAAACTGAACTGTTCTAAATCTGTATATATTTATTTATGTGTAATTAAAATCTGAAAGTTTTAAAATGTCCAGTGCAAGTTATTTATATCAAATTGAGTTGGGTTTTTTTTTGTTTTGCCTTTTTTTTGGTTTTGTTTTTTTTGAAAGATGAAAGTCTCTGGATTTCCTGCCATTAGAAATGGGAATGAAGTTTTGGATACACAAAACTGTAGCATGGACAAGATAGGCTGTGATGATAATGACTATAGAAGTTCCGCAGGATTTTGTACTTGCTGTTGTTTCTCTTAATGCTGCAATAGATGTACAACACCCACACCACAATGTCATTCTCGTTATCTTAATAAACCTCTTTTTATTTGAAGAAAGCACCTCCATCGTCTTTGTGAACAAGGATCCTTCTGCCTCTGTGGTTGTATCTTGAAATATGTAGTTTTAAGAAAGAATATCCTCCAGTTTCACGGCTGACGTTGGGCTGATGCTTGCAGTCACAAACAGGAGCTGGCGTTAATGCCCTGACCTCGCGAGCCATCGCAGCCGAGCCGGCCGGCGCCTCTGCTGACGCTGGAGATGAATAGTGAAATGATGTGTTTGCAGGTGTTTCGGAACGACTCAGGATAGTCAAATCTAAACCTGTCTGTGAAGAGCTGCAGAAGGACCTCGTGCTATCAAGACAATAAGTGATAAATTAGCAGATAAAGTAACCCTACTAATCTATATGCAATGAAGCGCTCTAAATTAGCTGCTACATTTGTGGCATTATTAAGGATAGGACTCTGAAAACAGCCGCCTCGTACTCACAGGAGGTTGGAAATACAAACAAAATGATGGGAACTGTTAAAAAAGCATTAACAAACCAGAAAACAGATTATATTGCACGACATACATGCGCTTGCGTGGTGTTCCTCTATCTTGACTGCCACTTGCAGATCTGGCCAGCCCAACTGGTAAAGCCATGGAGAAAAGCAGCCAGGGAGATCGCAGGTGGGAACCGACTTCGGTGCAAGGAAAGACCAAGGGATTAGAGCTGCGTCATTTGTAAAGGACATGAGCAGTTTGTGGCAGAGGTGTGGAAAACAACGGTATAAAAGAGTACGAACAGGGAATGATGACACTAAAACTAGAGGCAGGACGCCAAAGGAAATAGCCAGGAAGCAGGTTTAAATAAATGAACAGAAGACAAGTAAGAAGCCGTGGCATCTCACGGAACCAGACGTGTAAATGGCTTCAGACACGATGGAAGAGGGATGATTTTAGAGAGCATGTTTGCAGTCTTCCCTACACATCCCTTGCTCGTCACAGCTAGAGACCAGGCAGGCAGACATGGGTCTGAGTCATTACAGCACTCGTTATATCGGACCTTTCTCAGAGTTGTACCCATCCGTTTTGGCTGGAGGTTGCAGAATAGGCTGATGATAGTAAAGAAAAAACCCAAACTGTCCCAAAAGAGACCACAGGAGGTTAGAAATACAAACCCTTCTCCTTTTCAGAAAAGCGTGAAAGGAAACATTTTACGTACCAATATAATTTGTGGGGATGGCTCAGAGTCAGAAACTTGCATCTAAATACTCCCTTCAAAAGCTTAGGGATGCATTTAAATTGGGAATCGGATTGGAAACGGCCCTTGGTATGAAGTGTGTGAAAGCAAAGACCTAAATTATGGGCTCTGCAGGTCTGGTTTTGCTCTGGACCTTCCCAAAGGAAGAGCCAGGGAAGAAGGAGGAGTCAGGGAGCGGAATGGAAATACTAGAGACATATTAGACGCTTGTTTACACTTCAAAGCTATTTTGGATAATGCAGGGTGAGAGCCGAAAGCACAAGAGGTATTCCTATTTAAAATTATTCCAAAATAGGAGTGCCCTGTTCTGCATGAGCATAATCCACATTTAAAATGGATTATGATAAATGAGAGTAAGGTGCTTTCGTGCTATAATACAGGTTTACCTGAAATAATTCAATTTATAGACATCCTCTGATGCCTGGTATCAGAGAAGAGCAAAGCACACTCCGATACATGATGAAAGTATACGTGTGTGCACTATAATATACAGGCGTGAAATATAATTTCATAATGTAATCTTATTATGAAAACCTGACTTGGTTAAGGCACTCATTGAATATCAAGGAATTCTTAGACATAGCAGCGATGAGCAATACAGACAAAGGATCAGGATATGCCTGCAGTAATTACGTGCCATGGCCATCGGGTGGAAAAATACCTCCCTCCTCATTTTCCTCTTTGGGTAACTGCAAGGCTTTTGAATGTTTTATGAGGAACAGTCTGGTGCCTGAAAGGCCAGGATGCCACCAATTACCTTTTAATTGGGAGGAAGTTTGATGATTTGGATTCACTTGTTGATTCTGCTACAGATGCTCAAGACTGACGACGGATGCGTCATGTAGGATCAACTTTCTAAAAGCATTGAGACTTCCACTTCCCAAAATTTTGGACACCTTCATTTCTGCAGCCCCACAGAGATGCCTGAGAAGAGCACAGCTCTCAGAGGCTGTACCAGGCCAATTATTGTTTGTCAGGAGTTAGTACTGGAGTTCCCCTCCCGGCTCACTGTCAAACAAGGCCATCCCCTGATGTGTTCTTTGCCTTTCCATCCTAAGAGGGGAAAAAAAAAAAAAAAAAGTCACTTTACACAATTCATGGCTCAACCCTGATATAAATTCCCACACTGATGACAAATATTATCGTGGGAAAATACGTGGGATTGTGTCAAAGAGTAAAAATAGATTCAGGCTCATGGCTTCTACGCTTGTTATAGAACACTCTGGAATTTCAGTCCTAAAGGGGAACTGAAAAAAAGATCTTTTTTGAATTAATTCTGAATAAATGACAAGTCCAGGGAAACCACATGACAATCCTTGACAAGTGAAAAAAGAAAAAGAAGGTTAACAAAAACTCTTCATTCCCTAACAGCCAGCTATCCCAAGGGTAAACTGAGGTTAACATCCAACTGTGACTCTATACTGTATCATTAACGTAAACAAGCAGAGGTCGCGTTGGCATTCTGCATGGCTTTGGATAGACTAAATAATTACCTTTAAGCAGGCTACCTTAAAAGCAACAGGGTAATAATAGCTCTCCATACTAAACCAACACATAAACAGACTTTGCCGACCTGTAGTTAATGCATTCTTTCATATATGAGAGAGTCCATTCAATTCCAAACTTTACATACAGAATCCAAGGAGCCACACCATCAGGGAGGAAAGGAAGTTTTTCCTGTTAGTGCAACTGGATCAAAACACCAAAACCAAAACCATTTTCAAATCAGGCAGTTAAAGCAACTGTTATTTGCAAGGGTGACAAAATGCTTGCTTCAGAGAGTATTGATTCAGCAGCCTGGACAGATAGCACAGTGTCATGTGCAGCATAGGACTGTAGCCTAATTATCCTAACAGACTTTGGGAGAAACAGGCTAAACCCAGTCATTACACAGAATCTGAACATCCTGAGGCAGAAGGTATCATTTTGGTCTTCCTGCCTGACCTCCTTTATATTGCAAAGAATTCCCACTGCGGCCACCCGAGCATCACTGCATTTTCAACAGGATACCATAAATAGCAATAATAATTCCAGACACTGAATATACACCCAAGCTTTGACCCCATAATCGCAGTGCTGAAGCATCCCAGTAACTTCTCTGAGGCAGGCAGGCAGGCAGCAAAAATTATGTCAGTGTTATTCTGGACGGCTTCTTTGTATGTTTTTATCCTGACACCTTCAGATGCTTCTCATTTGATTCTTTTCAGCAGAGAAAAGGCTAAAATTAAACCCTGAAATTCAGAAGTATTTCCCATAAAGATAGTTTCATTTTAGTAGCAAAGGTTATAGCCAAAGATGATTTGTTAAATGGAGACAACTCAGCTTTTTTGGGGGTGTGAAATGAGTTCAGAGGAAGATTGAGCTATTGCTCCAAGTCAAGAAGTTCTGCAGCACGTCAAGATGTGCCTGGATGCTACAGGCTTCTCACCTGACGATCGGTCTGTCCACGCAGAAGTGCCTTGGGTTCCCCTCGAGTTTCTCCACTGTACAGAGCCTTAAACTGGCTACAGAATCCCCAAGAGGCAGCGTTTTCTTGGTGCGACTGAATGACCTGCACTCAACAAAAAAC